GACTTTTATGTGGGTGCTGGGGATCTAACTCAGGTCTTCCTGCTTATACAGCAAACACTTTACCTACTAAGCCATAATTTTGCTGAATTCTTTTTCTACCATCTTTATCTTCTCCTTTTTTTCTGTCCCTGTTATTTTTTTTCCTTCTCTTTCTTTCTTCTGCTGGAAGTAGGTGACCTTGAGAAAAAGAGCAGCCTGGGTTCTTGAGGGAAGAATACATTAACGTCTCCATGTGCCAAGACCTGCCAGGGACCCGGGGAAGGGCTGTAGGGAGAGGATTTCTCACCTCCCACAGTGCCTGCCTGCCTGTCTGCCTCAGCTCTGAGTTGCTTTGTTCAAGGTGTGTCAGAGTTGACGCTAGAATTGTGCATTTGATCCATTGAGCTGCTCCTTTCATCACAGGTAGGGAACATGGCTGTGTTTGCAGAATGGATGGGCCCACAGGGAATTTGGAGTGAATCAGTAGTTCTAGTATAAACCTTTCATCATAACTCCCTTTCAGGCACAATCAGGACTAGAGACAAAAGGTTGTATAGTTTGTGATTTCTTTTTCTGATAAGAGCTACACTATTTTATGAGGTATGTCCCATAGCCAAAATTGCAAGTCCTTACTCAGCACATTTGTCCTCTCCATACACTTTGGATTCATAAACGTAGCATTTATTCTAATAATTTATTCTTTAATAAAGAAACTCCATTTTTATTATGCATTTGACAAATCACATGACCGGGGAGGAATATAATTCTTTTTTTAAAATATGTTTTTAAAATTTTATTTATTATTTTTATTTTATGTGTATGTATGTATTGTCTGCATGTATGTAAGTGAATCCATGTCATGCAATGCCTGAAGAAGTAAGAAGGGGGTGTTGGATCCCCTGGAACTGCAGTTAGAGACGGTTGTTAGCTGCCATGTGGGTGCTGGCAACCGAACCTGGGTCCTGGGCGAGAGCAGCCAGTGCTCTTAACTACTGAGCCGTCTCTCCAGCCTGGGAATATAGTTCTTGAAACCAAGGCTGCTTTTAAGTCCCATACATGAAATATTAACTCTGCAAATTCTTTGGCTGCTTGTTTGCTCTTTCAGACGAAGACCTGGAGGCTGCCACGCTTCAAAGCACCAGCTCCGTTTTCTGGTCATCCAGCTCCGTTTTCTTAATCTCAATTTAACAGCCAAGAAGCAAGCAGACTAAAGGAAGGCTCACACTTTGTTACATTTCCAACTCAAAGAAGCCAATGGTAGGAGCTGATGCTCTCTTACTATGGAGAAAAGGGAAAAATTTAAACAATTTCACAGTGGTTCTATACTTAGTAAAAAAGCCCAAAGCATTTTGGGCTGGGTCATGTGTCTTTGGAAATGAAAACCTGTGCACAACACTGTCTTGGGAAATTCAACCAACATGCCCCATGCTGGTTTGCCTTTACCTCGTTCCCGTGTTGACTGCTCAGAACACTTACATGACCAAGAGCCCATTCAAACGAACACGCTTTTAAATGTCAAGAAATCTGAACCAACTACTTGAGGTGGGACAATATTAAACAGATGTTAAGTCTCATATATTTTTTGCAATTTAGAAGATAAAATTACTGGTGAACCACTTTCAGCTAGAGTTTTTGGTTCTTAGGGCTATGACCAGGACCCGTAAAACAGTCATTAAGGAGAACAGCGAAGTTTAACATTTGGGAAAGCATCCCATATCATTTGACTCTCCAGCCCTGCCAGTCTAGTTTTTCCCATCTCTGTGCCGGGAAAAACCATACTCTGTTACTTTCTGATTATTCTGTTACTTAAAGAGTATAACACTACTTGAAGATCAAAGTACTAAATATCATGAATAGTGATAACAAGCAACTGGGAAGCACACAGTAAAAGCAACCAACTTTGGAGAACTGTAATTTCTAAAGTGGACAGAAGGCCTATCTCGTAGAAGAAAGGCTCTCAGTTTGCAATTGATTTATTTAGAAAAAGATGATAGAAATCTGACAATCTGACAAATGACTGCTGGGTTGATGATTCGACTACTCATTTTTCTAAGTTTTCTACTAATTCCACAAACGTTTCTACTCTCAAAGAGAAAGAAACAGCACCCAGTGGTAGAGTTATGATTTTCATGCACTTCTATTCTGCATGGTCTTTGAACACTGCATTTAAAAAGGAAGGTTTTACTGACTTCCTTCTCCTCAGGCCATTTCCAAATAAGCTTTCTTAGTTCCTGGGAGTAAATGATAAGAGAGGGAGAGTTTGGCTTACTGGCTGCCATCAGCAGCTCTGAGAAGGTATGAGATTTTAAGGCTTGGCTGGTGAATGGAAGCTTCATCTCCTGGGCTGAGACTTCATTTGAAACTGACACCTTCTCAGTCTGTGCCAATTAAGATACCATCCTGTTACTGCCCTGCCTTTTTTTTTTTTTTTTTCTTTCTTTCCTCCCATAAAGTCATTGAGAAATTTGAGAGAAAGATCAGAACCAATTCACATTACATATGTGAATGATACTCTTTTGCTAACAGTTTAGGCTGCTCTCAGGACAGATTTTTCTGTGGTTTGTGTTAATTTTTCTAACATCTGAAGTTGCCTCTAAAAGTTTAGTCCATGGGGTATAAATCTCAAACTCATAATGGATCATCTGATGGTTTTTAAAAATTCAAGAAATAAGATGGTACGGAGTGGTTGAGTCTTTGGGAAAGGCCACACAAAACACCACCTCATTCCAGGGCACCTCCTATCACATCATGTTATATGTGATTAGTGCCCCCTAGTGTGGAGCAAAGCAGAGCTTTGCTACATGGCCTAGGCATTCATTCCCAGTGTCCTCACTGAGCTGGACAGGGGCCAAACAGGACTCTTAAACGCTGGGAAGGTGACAGTGAACATAATGACAAGAATTCCTGGTCACAGATACACCAAAGGCCTCTCCTGAAGGCCAACCAAACATAATACATCCATATGCAAATCTTAATCCATGCCCTCACCAATGAATGACCTCTCCTCTTATCTAGGCTTTTAAGTTCTATGATCTCCAGTAGTTTGGCCCCAGGGACAAAATGCAAAATGGTGATGGGCTGACCACAGGTTTGTATCTACTGTTTAGCTCATGCTTAATGAGAGCTCTGTGCATATAGAAAAGACAGTTAATTAACTTTCAATTACAAATTTATACCCCCAGCTCAGGTGTCTATAATTGCCATTAATTCTCCCAAGAAAATGTCTTTGGTAGAGGTGATCTTTAGGTAAGACAGGAAGGAAAACTGGAAAGAGGTGGGGGCTGTGGCATTTTGCCAGGGCAGTACCTGCCTAAATAACTGTCCTAAAGACTAATGGGAGAGGAAGTCATTGAGGCCAAAGGGGCACCTGAAACCATTTTTGAGTTTACTCATATATATATGCAATATATATGAAACATATATTTATGTTATATATATGAAACATATATAATATATATTTTTGCTCATATAATATGTATTTTTGCTCATATATATATTTGCTCTCTCTCTCTCTCTCTCTCTCTCTCTATATATATATATATATATATATATATATATTGTTTTTCAGGCAAAAAAAGAAAGATTTCCTAGAGTTTCATTCCTCTTAGGGGTTATGCCCAGAGAAGGGGGTGTAGGGGAGGGTGGGGTAGTGGCTGAGTTTAAAACACTCTCATAAATAATTTCTCAGCCTTGTGGATCTGAATGACAGTGAATGGAAACTGAATTTTATCAGCATTGAAGGAAGATGGAGCTAAGAGGTCTGATCACCTAGCTCCTCTCATGTCTGGAAAGTTAGATCATTATTACTATTACTACACTGAAGCTTCAGTAAAACCTAAAAGAATGCTTGTATAAAGTTTCTGGAAGAAGCTTTAAAGAAATATTGTGATGGCACTCTAAAATAGTTTAGAAGTTTTCCTTCTCAAAACTCATTTTTGTTCTCTTAGGTAAGATTATGACTCAAAAGTATTTATAGGACCCAGGTCCCAAGTCTGATGAAAAATCAGTCATGGTATAAAGTTCACCTAGAAACAAATCTTTCTACAAATGGAGCAAAAGACCATCTATGTTCACTCTTCCTCTTTTCTACCTGCCTGCCAGGAGCCTTCCTTGCCAAAAATCCTGATGTTCATAAAAAGGATAATCAGGGGAGAGTGTTAACATATTAATCTACAAATTACTTTTCTTAAAGTTTGGAAGCATTTCCTGAAGCTGTCAAAGGCATTAATTTTTTTCTTTCTCTCTCTTTAAATCACAAAGCAAAATTCCACTGTCTTTCCCCCACCCCCTTTAAAAAAAAGTTGTGGAGTTTTGCTTTTCTGTTCACTGCACTCCTGGCCAAAGTAAAGCCCTCTTTCTCAATGACGTCAAGATCTTTAGCAAGATTAGGCTTTCATTTCTCTATTGCAGCAATTAGCCAGGGAATGTATAAAAGGCTTCGGGGAGACTCACTGGGCTGCAGAGAGAGGCACTTTGCAGCACAGGCAGAAGATAGGAAGAAACGGAGAGGGAGGGGGCAGAGGACTGCCGCTCCTGGAGAACCTGGAGAAAGGACAGTGAGACAGGCTGGGGGAGGAAAAGAAAGTGCGTTTAAAACGGAGTAAAGATAGACAGAAAGAAAAAACCAAACCCTACCCTTAAAGCACAGTTTAAAAAACTGGCAGTTCAAGAAAGAGCCAGGCTGCATTTAAAGGGACAATGCAAAGCTGAAGGAAAATTTACCATCTCTGCAGTCTCAAGGGTATCTGGAAATGAAAGTACAGCTGCCAGTCTTTGACGGACTCTGACAGGGCTAACTGGATTAGGGACTGGTACGCCAGTTTTTTTTTTTTTTTAAACATCTTAAATCCTGAAAAAAAAAAAAAAAAAAAGCAGCTCGGAATTGAATGAATTGATGGGCACACTCCAACTCCTGGGCTGCAGGGACTGAACTTGGTTTTGCCATTTCTGCTTCTTTGAAAGAGGAGACAACTTGGGCTTCCTTTTAATTTAGTTTTTCTCCCTCTCCCCCACCCCTTCTATCACCACCCTCCTTTTAATAAAGAGGGTGAAGGAGAAGCAGAGCTCATAAGGGAACCGACTAGGGAGGCAGAGAAGATGGGCATCCTCAGCGTGGACTTGCTGATCACACTGCAGATTCTGCCAGTGTTTTTCTCCAACTGCCTCTTCCTGGCGCTCTATGACTCGGTCATTCTGCTTAAGCACGTGGTGCTGTTGCTCAGCCGCTCCAAGTCCACTCGCGGAGAGTGGCGGCGCATGCTGACCTCAGAGGGACTGCGCTGCGTCTGGAACAGCTTCCTCCTAGATGCCTACAAACAGGTGAGCTGTGCCCACAGGGCTTCTCTTGGGTCAACAGGCAAGGGCCGGAAGGGCCGGAACTGCAGGCCGTGGGGAACCCCGTCTGGGGTGGCCTGCCCAGTGCTTACGTTCAAGGAAGTCTCTGTATCATATTGGGACACCTGTTGCGCAGGTTGGATTTGGGAGTGACCGATGTTCAGGCCCGGTGAATCTGGGCGTCCTCACCAGAAGTCTTTAATAAGGACTGCAGTTATCTTGCCCTGGCTTGGCAGTTAAGGGGTTTCGTGGTGGTAGAATAACTTTGGGCAAAGTCAGAAGTTGTTGGGGGAGGGGAACCTGCCGCATCTGCTCTGCTCTTGGCAGGAGCTGGAATGCTGCTGCCTTGCTGGATGGGAGGCTGGGTGAAATGTGCTAGGGAAGTTTGAGTAACTTTTTCTTTTAGCTGAAATGGTCAGAGTTTAATAATAATAATAATAATAATAATAATAATAATAATATAATGATAATAATAGCCACAGCAAGTGTGGTGGTCTGCTAGGTTCTTCACGTCTAGGAGAGGTAAGAGCCAGCCAATGCAAGTAAGCGTGGTGTAGCCACCTACATGTCTGTATTTGTAGATCGCTGGTCATTAGACACAAATTTGCAAAAGAAAGATCTGAGAACTGGCTGTCAGAAATCCAGAGTTTGCAAGAGAAACCAAATCTACATATAAGTCATCTTAGAAAGTACTGATGGTTCCAGCATCAGGCCTTGAGTAGTGGAGCATTGGACTTCCTTACCCGTGGAAGGTGTGCCCCCACCCGTTTTCAAAATACCAGAGTGTGTTATGTTTTGAAGTAAAAACTTCCGGTGTTCCAGCCTTTCTGGTGTTGGAGATATTGGTGGACCATTTCAACCAAGGTCTTAAGAGGCAAAGGGGAACGCTTTGGAACAGGTTTTGGAACAGGTTGTCTGTCAGTCTTTAATAAGGATTTGCTCCCACATCTGCTCCCAGATGACTCCTGAAGGCCCCCTGGGGGTTGAAAGAATGAATGCTTGTGGCAAAAGTTGCTATAAAAAGAGAAAATCGCAGTTTCCTCAATATTACTGGGAGAGCTTGCATAAGGTGTCAGTAAGGAAAGGAAACAGGCAATATGAAGCCAGAGGGTCTCTGAAGAAGCACACTTTAGGCAGGAGGGGTGGTAGACCCCAGAATGGAAATTCAGAATAACAGAGGGGAAGGGGATGAGTCCTCCACAAATAAACAGTAGAAAAAGAAAGCTATCTACCAGGGAAATAAAGGAATTCAAGATAAGGTCGTTTCACTGAAATCAAATGTTGAGGAACAAAGTATCTGCTGTGAACTTGGGAAGTTTTGCTGTAAATTGTGGCAATATTATCAGGAACAGCCTGAAGATCCGCTTTTAATGCCTTAAAGGCATATGGATGGTTAGCCCTCTGCTCAGCAAGTGAGAATTCCTTTGTGAGAGTAAGAATTGATGCTCAAAGTCTTAAATAGTTAAAACTCAGTTCTAGCATGTACATAGAGGCAAATGGAAGACATGGGCAAGGAGAAACTGAAATATCACTCCATTATCACAGGGGTTTACACATTGAATGATAATACTAACATCGAGGTATCAGGAGTTTGGAGGAGAGTGGGGTACCAAACCTGTATATTAAAATATTGTTAATTAAGGAACCTCAACTACGCCTGTATATGTCTTAGATAATGTGGGATGTTAGTCACTTGATCTCGGTATTTTAAAAGACAATGGGCTTTTGCTTATAAAATTTAAAACGTGATTTCTGGGGGGAGAATTTTACTCACTTGCATATATATCTAGTATAAGTAATTTTTTTACATAAACCACGGGGGCTATATCACCCAAAAATATCAAGTGAGGTGATTTTTTTTCCCCATCAAGCAGCATATTGAAGAAGAAAAGCAACCAAGTGCCTCTGTCAAAAGCTCCATCTTTTTCATTAATGTATAGTGTTCCACTGTGTTGTTATTCATGTTCCAGGAAATTGAGAAGGATGAGCGATTTTTTTCTTTTGGCATATGGTTTGCATATTCCTCTCCTTTATTTCTTTGTCTTGCCTATTGATTTGATTAGTGACCAAGTTCATGACTTATCCTATTATAGTTACTTTTAATGATTTATATAATAGCTATCATTGTCAGGAACTACGTACCCAGAGACAAGGCAGACTGGATGTAATGAATGAAACCATTGTGAGCAGAACTTGAACTGAATTCTGGTACTTTTCTGTCTTCAAGCGTGGCTAGGGTTGTGGTGGCTGCCGTGGCATGAGAAGGTCACTCAGAACCTCTCAAACAGGTTGAATCATTCACTGAATGCTGGTGTCATCTGTGACACTCTGTTTAGGTGTGGCTGTTTCTACAGACGCTGGAGGAGGTCCTGTCTGACATGGCATCATGGGATTTCATAATCTTGGCTCGCATTATCTGGATACTGCCACCCTAGAAGCAGAGTTTTCCAGGATGAGGGGTGTGTCCACATGGGATACAATTAGATGGATCATTTATTATTCCTGACTCTCTTGGCTAGTGAATGTCAGCTATTATATTTGGGGAGATCTTTAGAGGCACTGGGATAACGATCCCTGTATTTTACCCACATAGGAAGTAACACTGGGCCAGAGCTGGAGGGGAGTGGGGAAGTAAAGCATAAAGCTTTAAAAGGGACTTAAAATTAACTTTATAGAGGAGCTGCATAAAGTTTTAAAAGGGACTTAAAATTAACTTTATAGAGAAGTTTTCAAAATCATGTGGGCCTGGTAATGGCTAGGAGGTCTGTGTACAGCTTCGATGAAAAGAAAATGTATAGAAACTCATGAACGCTTTGGAGTAAATAACAGATATTTATTATTTAAGCTTCTTCAGTGTCATTGCATGTGGACACTGTACCCTTGTGTTGGTGCTCAAAGACTCAAAAATGCAACCAGTAAGCAAACTGTCCTGTCTGGGAGCCTGACTCTTACCTAAATGAAGCGTAAAAGTAAACATACAGTATAGATGCTGACAAGCAGGTTAGTTTCTGCGCAGTTAATATTGCAGTGGCACAGAAAACATGTTCCTCTGAACATATAATTTTGGTTTTGAAAGGGTCTCTTTAACATTCTCCTCCTTCTCTTCATTCACCTCAAGCCTTTTGACGCTGTTTTTTTTTACAATGGAAAATGGCTCTTTTAAGAGAGAAACTGTCCTAAAAGTACACAAAGAAGGCCACAGCCAGAGCTTGTCTGTCACTTGGATAAAGCATTGTGAAATGATAGGGCTTCAAGCTGCATTTTCAAGGTACAAGTCATAAAGAGAATTGTACCAAAGAGAACTGACCCAGAGGCTGGAGTAGGTAGACTATTCTTCGAATCCGATTTATTTGGCCGATCTGAATGGGGATGGTTAAATCTCTGCTTAATGATTGTTTGGCCCTGCTTCTAAGCACATTGGTGTAGCCTGGTCATTATGTCAAAGAATTGGAAACTTCCCGATAGTTAATAAATCCACTTCCAAGGCTTTGGATAACAGAAAGTGCGTAAATATTCTGCCATATGCCCATCCTCCATTTTTATAAATTTTTACTTATTATGATATTATGTGATGTTTTGCTCAAAAGCTTTCCTTAGGCACTAGAAAGGAAATAAATAAT